GGAGCCAGCCGGGGCCGTGGGGAAACTTCCTGCCTTTGATCACTGCTGCTAATTAACTGCTGAGCATAAACGATGGGACGGGGTTGAGCAAGGCACCAGTCTTACAAAACCATCCGGGTCGGGGAGACTTTGCAGAAGGACTGTTTTTGGGTGAAAGACGTTGTCTTTTCCTTTCCACCCTTTCTGGAGGAGATAGCAAATCCGGCTAAATGTAAAAGCTACGGGATACCCTGACCGTGAGCTGTCCCGGCCGAAAACTGTTGGTGCAGGGAGCACTGCCCGGCAGAGCCCGTGGACGAGCCCACGGGCGAAGGGGAGAGGCCGCGGGGAGGGACGGTGGAGGCCACGGGAGGGTTTGCGAAGCCGAGGAGTGAGGGAGGGGGTTGCTGGAAGAGGTGAGGACAGGCAGGCGTGTGCTGGGTTTGGGCCGCAGGCAAAGCAGCGAGCCCAAGGCCGGGGGCAGAACATCTGCAGGGGAGGAAGCAGCAGCCAGGCCGCCTCCGTGGGGGGAGGTTCAGGGGAAATGAGCTGCTGGTGGGGTGGGAGAAACCAGGAGGAAAGGGCCCACTCTCCAAGTATGGGGTCTGATGAGCACGCGGGGGAGGAGGACGAGGCCCTGAGCTTTGACATTACCCAGCTTTATGCAGTAGGTTGGACCAGGGCCCTCCAGAGGTCCTTTCCCACCCAAATGATTGGGTTATTCTGACTCTTTCTCGCTCTCTTTTCATTCACAGGCGCAACTTGGTTGAGGGCGTTACCAAACAGTACCTGAGGAAGTGCACCTATCACAAAGTCACCGATTCCTTATGCCCCGTGTTTGACCTGGGATACATAGTGAAGGAATCGGGTCAAAATTTTACCTTCCTGGCTGTTAAGGTATTTGGATTTCAAATGCTGTTTCTTGCTGACACGGAGAGTGGGACACCGGCAGAGCAATCATCCCCAAGCCCTTGAGACACGGGGGATCTGTTTTCTCCAGGACTCGCGAGGCAGTGTCAGAATTAGCTCTTAAAGATTATGAGTTTCCTTGGACACGGCCTAATATTTAAGCCTTTCTTGGAAAGTCCCCCGTAAGATTGACAAGATTTGACCGTAAACTGGCCGTAAACCCAGGGCTCAGTTTGTTTTAATTTGTGCAATGAATAACTGGAGCCGCGTGACCAAATCCCATCCGACTGAGCTCGGAAACCTCAGCTGGATGGTCAAATATTGGCCGCTGCACAGTGCAAACCGCAGCCTCTCCCCAGGCTCGGAGATGCAGCCTTGCCCAGCGCTTCTCAGGGTGGTACACGAGAGTATCTGCCGTTTCTGTGCTGCAGAGCCTTAAACTAACTTTGCCAGGCATGAAATAAAATCAGAGGCTCACGTATGTTAAAGGAGCAAAAAGAGGAGCCTCCGGGGCGCAGCTGGTTACAACCTGGGGCGAGCTCCGGAGGGACTGCTGCATTTCCTAGCGGGTGGCCACTGCTCTCAGAGGAGGTTTTCTTCTGATTTTCATGGGTTCATTTCACTCTCCTCTACGACCGTGTTAAATCGTCTTTGATTTTCCCTGTGACGTTAGTGGCTTGGTGCAGTTAAGCCACAGGAGAGGCGAATCTCCTGGGCAAGGGAAGGGAATCTCGGGCAAGGGAAGGCTGTCCCTCAGGGACCGTGGGGGATCCGCAGTGGGCACTGTTTCTCAGGACCACCAAGAGGGCCTGAATTTAGTTGCGTATCCAGCAGCCAGAGCAGAAGCAAGTGCCTCCACGCAGGCTGATGTATAGGGCACAGAGCCGAGGCTGCCCAGGAGGGCTGTGGCAGTGGTGGGGTCCACGTACCCTGGAAAGCCAGGACACCTCATAGCGTCGAGAAAGGCCACATATGAGGAGGGAAAGCATTTCTCTGTGTGGGCCAGGTCCAAGGAGGGGCAACCTCATGACTCCCCTCTCGGCTGCAGGGTGGAGTGGTGGGCATCACCATAGACTGGAACTGTGACCTCGACTGGCCCATCCGGTACTGCAGACCCATTTACCAGTTCCACGGCCTTTACAATGATGACAGTAACGTTTCGCCGGGGTTCAACTTCAGGTAAGGAGAACCCTGTTAACTCTCCAGGCAGATTTCAGGGGTGACATCTTTCAGGATCCTACAGCACTCAAGGGATGGTGGAAGACCAGGGACTGTTCTCCAAAATACTGTCTACCTTTGCAGTGACAGACAGCAGTGCTGTCTTTAGAATGGCACGAGAAAAGTGATAACCCATCCCCTGGCCTCAAAATTACCCCGTTGCCTTTCCCTGTACGTCTCCTCCCCCTTGCAGACTCTCCTGCTCAGCTGAGCGCTCGGGAAGCCCCTCGAAAGACTGGAGATGGTGCGGGGCCACCTCACGTGTTCCCACAGCGCGAAGCGTTCTGCCACAGCATGGCAGTTAGGCGTGAGCTGCTGCTCTGCGTGAAGCTGCCACCAGCGCTGCACTAACACCCGCTGTCACGAAGCGCTGGGGGTCACCAGGCACCAGCACACGCAGGAGCTTTCACTTCAACTTGCAGGCAGGGAAACTGAGGCACAGAGGGGAGAGGTGCCAACAGCCCAGCTCCTTCGGGGGGGCTAAGGAGCCGGTCGGGAGCAGCTCTGTGACAGCACATCCCCAGATCTTTGTCCCGCTCTGCAGCCCACCAAGATCCCGATGCTGTTGGGTTGCAGGGGGCTGTTAGACGCCCTGGCAGGCCATTAATGCTCACCATCCAATCGGACAGATATGCCAAATACTACAAAGAGGACGGGATGGAAAAGAGGACTCTCTACAAGGTGTTTGGGATCCGTTTTGACATTTTGGTGAATGGCAAGGTAAGGGTGGCCAGGTGCTGGGTTTGTCCCAAAAAACCATCATGATGAGTGGGGGGGGAACTGTGGAAAGTCAAAACCTTTTATTGATATTTCCAAAAGCTGAACATTTGCATTTTTCTATTTTGTCTTTTCCCACTGGGAGAGAAGGCTTTCCTCATTGTGTTCCCACTGGCAATATTTAGAGGGTATACTTTTTTTTACATTAAAAATACAGGAAGCAAAGTAGTTTCAATTCGTGTCAGCCTAAAACCAACCTACCATACTTTTTGGTTTGACCAATGAGCTTAAAACCAGCTCTTAGCCAGCTCCTGTTTCTCTCTGTGCTGTGGTTGCGGTTTGGGTTGCTGCAAGGCACTTTAGCTGAGCCCCACCTACAGCTATGGCACCGTTTTTTTTTTGCCTCTGGTCTGATTGTAACATGTCATCTATTTTCTCCAATTTTATTCAGGCAGGCAAATTTGACATCATCCCGACCATGACCACAATTGGCTCTGGAATTGGTATTTTTGGCGTGGTAAGTTCAGGTATTTCCAGCTTCTATATGGAGACTCTCGAATTATTCTTCCTCACCTGTGACATCTGTGGGGAAGTGGCCCTGAGCTGCAGTGAAATACTGGTTCCTGCTCAGGCAACAGGGGATGGGCAAAAGGGGGAAAGGAGGTGCTCTCCTGCCTTGGTAGCTCAGGAGAAGATTCTTGCTGGCCACCGGCTGATGTGAATCCTGCTAGCGGGAGCCGCTGCCCGGCCGAGTGAGGGGAAGGCAGGCTTTTGTGGCAGGGCCATGTCTTGGTATCTTGATAGTTTCAAGTCAGAGCTGGTATTGAGGGGGTTTTGGAGGTGATGGACAGTATTTCGTGCATGACAGAAAACCAGCATCCTATTTTGTTAAAGACTTGGGCATGACCCAAAGGGTGTTGTGCTCTGCGTATACCTGAAGTACAAACACTCAATTTGTGTTGACTTAAATTGCCCAGTATTGAACCCAGCGCACTTCACTTCTGTCCTAAGTGGGCATTTCGGGGCTGTACCTTCTTTAGCAGCTGCCATGTTGTGGGCTGAAGCAGAAGTGACCCTAATTTGTGGGGCAAACTGAAACAAGCTGGAAGTAAAGGTGGCACGGGCGAGCTGGGAGGGCAGCCCCAACCCTAACTGCACTTTGATTTAAGGCTTCTGTCCTCTGCGACCTGCTCCTGCTGCATTTTCTCCAAGGACGGGACTATTACAAGCAGAAGAAATTCAAATACGCCGAACAGGAGCCTGTAAGTTACAGCAAGTCCCTCCCCTGCGGAGGCTCTCGCGAGTGTGTGAGTGTGGATGTGTGCATGAGTAATGATGCTGCAACACAAACAACATTTATACTGAGGAGCAACCAGGCGCCTTCCTGAGCTAGTGGGGATCCTGAGCCCTTGGCACTGTCAGAGTCTGGGATCCATGAATTTCCTCTCCAAAATTACAGAGACCTTCTGTGTGACTCACTGTTAAGAGCTGTATTCCCTCCCTTTATCCCCAGACATTCCAATATCTGGTAATGCTTGCATTGCTTTAAGGGAAGCAGGGGCAGACCAGTGCTTTAGCAAACTGGAAAATGTCCCCTTTTCTCCTTTCTGATAACATCTCCATGACCATGGGGTGTTTTGTGGCCTTTCATAGGACACAAAAACAGCTCCCCTCAAATTAATCTGAAAATATGCTTATACGTTGGGGGTTAGAAGTTGCTGTTCAGCCACATTTTTCTCTGGCGTTAGAAAGGGGCAGGTCTGTAAAAGAATCATTGTTTTCTCTCGTTTAACCCCCAGTCGAAGTCACATAAGAAGGAGAAGGAGCTGGACAACACGCAGTGAGAGGTGAGTGGTGTTTCCCCAGCCCTGCTAGTATACGGCTGGCAGGGGTGAGGGCTATGGGTCCCGGGGCTATCCCAAGGCGGCAGGGCTCCAGGGAAGCACGGAGGAGACCCGAGCTGTGCACTGTGATGTCCAGCCTGTGGTCAGCTGGGTGCAGGATGTGGGACTGACGTTGCGTCTTCAATGGCAGCATTGCTTGGAGAGGGGCAAGACACCAGAAGTCACTGTGCTCCTCTCTCTCTTGGCAGAATCCACACTGACCGACAAACTGCACCCTCTCCCTCCTCCTCTCCTACAACATGGTTGTCATGCCCTGTCACCGCCTGCGCCCGCCCCACGGCCAGCAGGAG